AAAAAAGACACAGGGTCACATTGGGCTTGCGGGAAGGGGAAGGGGAAGAAGGGCAAAAGGGCCGCGTGGTTTTAATTTGTTTAATTTCGTTTAAGTTATTTATATCAAGTACGTACTAGGCTATGAGGCTATCTGCGAACGGGGACCGTTTATATCATATTATTTAGTACGTAGTGGTAGACTACTCGGGATGGAGTTGCTGCGGCAGATGGATGGATAAATGAGGATTGACTCGGCTCGGGTTTTGAGATCGGTTAATATTGGGGTGTCAGAATCCGATGGATAGTACTCTACTTAGTAGGGGTAAGTATATATTGTGGAGAAGGTAGTAGTGGGATGGCTGGCTGATCGGGTATGAACGGGGTGGTGGTTTGGGTCACGGTAGTAAGTAGTAAGCAGTGGGATGTTAATTGATTGTCCATCTTTAGGAACGGGGGAGTAGAAGTATGTGTGTGTGATCTTTCTATAAAGTTGGTATATGCATGAATCTATACACAATTCAAGATCTAGCTATCGAACATGTCAAACATACAGCATTCGAGTCAAGTAAGACACACATCACCCATACAACGATATTGTTGGGGAGGGATTTACTACACAATGGTACTTTGTCGGCTCACTTACCCTTGCTTGCCTTCAACCCTAACTAGTTCAACTATCTAGCACGTAGTTCAAGAACTAATGACTTAGTTCTCACTTGCTAACCAGGATCCCAGTCCACTACAGTTAGATAAACTAGTATTGTTTAGGGAGTCCTTTCCCAACATCCCCTACCCATGCAGTAGTTCACCTAAGTAGGTATCTCCCTAATCTATCAGTAGTCTCCTGAAAACGTTCGCTAGACTAGTGAGGGAGTTAGCGAAAATCACCACCGAAAAGAAATGAAAAGTTCTCGACCACGGCGGAATGAACCGATCAACTATACTAGACTAAGTAGTTCTCCTTTTTGAGTAGATCGTTCAATCAAAAATTGATTGATTGATAGCTTGCGTATGGGAGTGGACTGGACTGGGTGGAATTAATCACATCAACTAGACTACACTCATTTGGACTACTAGATGGATAACTTGGTTCCACTACCCGGAGATTGAACGAACATTGCTCAGTCAGCAAGCAACCTAACTTACTTAGTTACTCTGTAGTTAGTTAGCTTGATATCTCCGTCCTCCGACCGGATCCGGGCCCGTGTCCGGATAGTAGTGGGGGGAGATCGCTCGCTCGCACGGTCTAGACGGTGGCCTTGTCCGTGTCCTTTTCTCCGTGTGAGTGGGTTAAAATGATGGGTGAGAGTACCGTGGATTTGTGATGGTATGTTTGCGTGGTCTGAGAGCCGCATGCTTCCAAAGAATCATCCTTATCTTGGGGGTGTTTTTTTTTTTGTTGGTATGTAGCAGATCCAAAGATATGCAGCGGACAGGCACCAAGGCATAATGAAATCAGCATTTTCTCGAGAGAAAGTAAAAGGAAGAGTATGCGGATGTACTGTGTGACTCGAAACGACTTGACTTGACCAGTCGAATCTCGCCCGAGTCCGAAATATCTCCGCGTGCAGCGCAAATCTTTATAGACGCATCTCAGAAGCAAGCAAACGGCAGCAATGAACAAGAGTTGCCTATGACGGTAAGGTAGAGGAGGAGATCGGTGAAGCGATTGACCGATGGTTATGACAATCTGCCCGTCAATCTTGGCCGTACATACACGAACACGGACAGATCAACCGATGTGTTGTACCTCCAATGCCTCAAAGTTGGAACTGTACACACATAAAATCGCATAACTGCTCATATAGATATGAGACCAAGTGTGTGATCATCGATGGAGAACAGCTAGTCATACTGAGTATGCTACCTGCATGGAAGGATTCCGACACCTTCTGGCCCAAACACTGGAACCCGATTTTTGCCGTCCACTCAAAACGCATTGTCGGATGTGAGCGAAACCATAATTAGGATTCCTGGGCTGCGCAGGTGCGCCCTGCTACTCCACTGGAACCGTTCCGGCTGATCTTCTGGTTCGGAGATAGCAACTATACTCGGTTCAGCCTGGAAGGAGGTGCCGGTGCCGGTGCCCTGTCGCGTCCACAACTTACACACAGATGCCCGGGAATGGTTAGACTGATTCCAGTCCTAACTGTTGGCAACTCTGAATAAGGGAAAAAATAAATGTGACGGGAGTTTGTTACAAAGCGGGAAATGTTGTAAGCGGCTGGCCGTTGGGTGAGGTACCTCGCTTGTACTTTTGTCGGTGATTGTCCGTTTAGAATAGGTGGAAAGGGTACCTCCTGGGTACTCAAGCCTGTGTTAGTATATTATTCGTACCAGCAATCGATCCCTGTAAGAAGTATCGAAAAGAGGTTAGATGGAGGGGGCTGATAGGGCAATGTTAGGTTCGGGCGCCCATGTTGCAAACACATGTTGTATGCGAGATTCCAGATGTGTAGGTTGATCTCGGGCATGTTCATCTCTTTCTCACCCCTCCCATACCTTATCTCCTCGATTGACTCCAGTGGCTTTTAGTTTGTTGGTTCCTGTTTTGGTAATTGGAGGCGATATGTGTCATGTCTCACCGACTGCATGACACGACGATCCCGTGGTGTAGGAATTCTCCAGTTGGAAATTTGTAAGGCTGAAATGATAGTCCACCTATCTACGGAGTACATACTGCTGCTTAACTAGTCTACCTGTCAACTTTTTAGATCGCCGATACGGTGGCTATGACAAATTTGAGACGGCTGCCTGACAAGGCTGGCTTCATGCACATCGCATGGGAGGCTCATTGGATGATTTCCGACAATGTCTCAGATCAGATAGTTTGAACCGGCTAATATGCACGGCTGCCAGGCGTTGGAGATGTTGGAGCTGTGTTTCTGATTGGTATCAGAAACTACTACTAGTACGAGTAGTACTATCTTAGGCAGTTGCTTGTGTATGTTACTGGCAAGGGTCCTATTGGATTCCCGGATCTGTCTCGCGCCTTGATACTGAGCCGTAGTGGATGCTTGCGAAGGGCAAGCTATGCCTATCGGATCTCCCGGCGGGAGGAAGTGGGTTGAGAACTCTGTGGGAGAGTATTTCTCGTGTTGAACCTAGGTGGAATGCTGATACTACAAAGTAGGTTAGAAAGAGTATTCAATCCCCCTTCTCCTGATAAACTCAATGACACATATTCGTCCTAAGCGCAGAGGGAGGCCATAGCTTACGTCGTAATATCCCCCTGAATGTGGATGGAGATGTTCTCTCTGTATGGAGCAAGTACCTAGTACTTGCTCCACAAGCCTAGGGTGACTTAGTTCTTACGTACCAGCTACTTTGGAGTTACCGAACTCGGTTGGCTGGCGGGAGAAGCATGAGGTGGCGTGACCAGCATTCACCTACCAAAGGGAACAGGCCAATGATGGATCGTCATGGTGTGACTAAATGACAGAAAATTGCTCGTGCTGCCCATCGAGCAATTACTCGATGAAAATTTAGTCGATGATTTTCTTCCCGTCAACCAATGGCGGGCATGTTGGAAGGCAGATCTGTCTGCTTCCCAGGGGCACAGCGGCGGGTGGTTCCCCGCTGGGGGCAGCGCGGAGGCTAAGCTACCGTAATTAGCGGGGGTGCCTATGGGTCCGTGGACGACGTCAGGAAAGTTAGTGACTTGACTTGCTTTTTACTTACTTGCTTGGTACCACTGAAAGCGGCCCCGATACCACGCTAGTCCGGATGAGCTCGGTCTAGACTGGGCGCCCAGCAATGACCCTCTTCTCCAAATCCTTTCCCCCCCAATCTACTCATAGTATGCAATGGGCAGGCAGTGTTGTTGCGATTTCTTGAGGGTCATCCATTCAACTTGCTCTTGGCAGTCTGCTGTTAGTGTCACCTGAAAAAATATCCCTCGTCAAATTTGGCAGATCGTCGACATTTCGACATGTTTAATGAAGATTTTCCAAATTCCTTGCCTACTCAGGTTTACTTGAGGTTGGCATTTGCTTGTGCGTATTGTATCCTCCAGTCGAATCCCAACCTTAATTCCTTCGCCTGAATACTTGCATCTTTCATTGTGTCATGTCAAAGTTAGCTTTATAACCGCGGTGCAGGTCAGCACTGTATCAATTCCTGCTTTTCATTGCGCTCCTCACGAATCCTATGCAGCCTTACCTTTGCTCACATGCACAGCTCCTAGCTACTTCGTCGTACGAGATTTCCCGTAGATTTCCCACCATCGACCAAGGAGACACAGTGTGTACAAAGTGTTGGACTGTGCGAAACCGAGCTATCGCCCCTAGAAGTGAGGGGGCAAAATAGGTGGGTTTCGGGGCACCCTTTTGCTATGTAGAGTCCATAATAGTCAGGTCTTGGAAAACCCTTTTCCATCTGTGTAACCAACCAGACAGTGATCAGCTAGTGACGTTGACTCGAAATTCACTTGTCCTGATGCAGACTTAGCAATAACTACCAAGAGAAACGCCGGTGGCTCAGGCGCTAGACTAGCTGAGTCCTTCTCACTTCGCGTACCCAATACCCATACTGTCGGGTCCTTAACGTGTCGATTATAGGGGCCAAAACTTGCCATTGCCACATCGTGCAGGGAGAACTAAGCTAGTAACCAATGATTGCACATGCTTCTCCGTAGGCAATGGCAGGTCGGTTCGTTAGTGCGACCTAAGACGGGCGGCCTGTTGCGACTCTGGTATCCTCTCTCCCTATAGGAATCCCTTCCAACCGAAATCATGGTCTGTCCGAAGTAAGCGCCAAATACGTAGGTTGTATGCATGGTGATTCAACGGTTGCTGTCGTGATTGACCGACAATCCCCATGTCTTGAGCCACGTTTTCTTCGCAACCATTGCCTGCCATGCCTGCTATCTAGCGGTAAAGGCGTGTCTGGTAAAATCGGTGAGTAGAGGGCTCGCCAGCTCTTGCTTGATCACGAGGCAGTTTGGCTGGGCTGGGGGTCAACCGGCTACGGCGCGCACCACTTCACGCGCTATCCAATTGCACCAGAGACACCGTCCCGACGTATGTACATACCTGCGCCCCTCTGGTTCCACTCCGTGTCATATCAATCCCGTGACTGGAAGAAAGTTCGACGGCTGCTGCCCAGCGCTAATCCCTGCAGAAGGCGTGGCGCTACTGGCCTGTTTCCGAGCATCTCGGAGATATTCGTCAATCCCTCAATGTGGAAACGGCATGTCCAGGATAGCCCCCGTGAGAACCTAAGGGACTCTCCCTGTCATTCTTCATATATCCGAGGCCTTGGCTCATTTCCCTCCTCCCCTGCAGATGCCACTGTGATATGAGGCAATATTAAACCCCAAAATTGAAAAAGCACGTTGGGCACAGTAGTGACTATCTGAAACAGATATCCTTAAGAACGGGTGTTATTCTCAGCTACTACCTCTTTTTGGTTGGATAGGCTCGAGTCCCAAATGGACTGACTCGAAGAGGCGACGACTCATCAATGTAGGCAGATTCAATAGAGACAATGGTGCACTTGGCGTATCAGGAACTTCGCCAGTCAGCAGACCGTCCAAGTTCTGCGACACGCGTTAGATTTACTTCATCGAGTGGCTTGGAGAAGGATGAGTGCCGGACATGGGAAGGTGCGCTGCTTGGCGGGGGTTTACTGACCTTCCAGAAGGCCATCGAACGCTCGCAGTTGATGTGGATGGTTGGGAAGGTCCATGGCGAGCCCGATCGGATCCCTGTGTCAATCCCTATCTGCAAGAGGAAGCAGGAAGTTACCCAAGTGACACCAACCATTCAGTTTGGGTAATTCCTCCGGAATCTCAATGATAATGTCTGGGCCTCTGGGCGCAAGCCACCTCAGCTGTATAACCCTTCCTCCAGATGCGGTGCCAAGCAGTTACAGAAGGTTACCCATGTTACTCGTTCCATACTGGCGCTCGAGGGGAAGCGGAAGGGGGTTGTCAGAAGGCCTACACGAAGTGGCCGTCCATGCAACCCATGGGACCAATGACGACCTCCATACGATCATCCACCTCCAGAAGGAAGTGGCCGCTCAGACCCCTCCCTAGAACAAGGAACGAAGGAAATGGTTTCCACTAAGGTTTCTTCTTCAGCAACGTTCCTGCGCCCGAGAATAGTCAGGAAAAACCGAGGAAGTCCGGACAAAGAATGCTCACACCGGGCAACTCTGGTTCCTGCGCAAGCCATCGGTGTGTGCCTTCGCGGGTCCATCAGAACCTTGAAACCCATTTTGGCAGCCGCAGATCATACTAGCTCTCTCGGAGGCCGTCAGATCATCCCTTCAGCTGGAACGGGAGGATTTTATGGCAAGTGAGGGTGGGAAGGGAAGAAGGGGGGATCGATTGGGGAAGGAAAATCGTGAGAAGTGGATCAGCCGTCAGTGGAGGCAGGCGATCTGTGGGTTCTTTGCAATCTCATCCAGTCCAACCGACTCGCCAGAGTAGGTGAGTTCTGTGTGGCTGTTGTTGTTTTGATACTTCATGTAGCTGCCGCACACTATACTGGCTCCGCTGCACGTCCTATGCCAATCAGTGGCTGTCAACGGACCGTGTGCAATGTTGGTATACTACAACTATGCAACTTGCAGCTGAAACGCTGTTTCCGCGGTGGCATAATGCAGAACAGGACGGAACTACATATTGCAAAGGCAGTGTGCATGAGAGGCATATATGACATGACAATCCCCGAATCCTTCGAACGATGGCTGGGCTAACACACGTGACCGTAGAGGACCCAACCATAAGGATGGCCCATTCCCAAACAAGGGGGTAAGCAGAACGCCGGAAATAAACATGCGCCGCAATCCCATTTAAGCCAGCCAAGCTAAGATGCAATTTATCATACATCAGCGTATACTGCATGCAGACCCCCTGTCATAATTGGCATTAACAAGCTAACGACATGCAGGGAAACTACGCGATACTTACGCAGCTTTGATGCGGCCTACTTACTATAACTAACGTTAACCCATAACCTGAATTACTTGGCTCAGCAGAAAATCATGTCTATGCCCTTCCGTTCGCATAGAAGATAGCGCAGGTACAGAGTCAGTTCTGCCTGATTCAAGCATCGCATTCCCCACCTCAACCCCACTAGAACCAAATCTCCTTCCGCGGCGAGCCCCGTGTCAACCTACTACTACACAGGAGACAGTAAGTACTAGCTGGAAATCGCAGTATTAGGCAGGACCCCCACCGGCGGCCTTCGCCGGCACGATCCCGCCAGCTTAAGTGGGCTAGTCTTTTCAATACATGACGCTAGCGCTGCTCACTGATCTGCTGGAGCCAGTCGTAGCTCGCCGGCTACTTCAGCCCGACCAATGGATAAGCCAATAGTAATCGTGTGGCGTATTTTTTGGGTCCATGGTCTCAAATACTACGAGATGCTCGCGGCATGCTCTCTTGAGTTAGTCTGGTTTGGAGGGGAGAAAGAAGAGGGGGGGGTTGATTTCCTTCTCTGAACGGACGTCGGGCAATCGACTCCCCGCGCAAACCTAATTTCTATAGACGTGATTGCGGTCGCTGAGAAGAAAATAGGACTAGAATGGCATAACATATTCTCGCTATTCATCTTCACGGCTATGCACCCTTTCCAAGGAGCAAAGAAAATCACAATTTGTCTACGGAGTGCCCTGCGCCCTTCTGGTTGGGTTGTTGGTCTTGGCCCAACTACAAACATGGACCTTGCTCGCATCCGAACCAACATACAACTCAGTATCCACTGGTTCGACACATGACAGATGTCTCTCACGAGTCACGCAGCATCTTTCAGTGGGCTACCTCAGACTTCCCAAGAGGCGGGCTTGTAGCCCAACTCTCACCTAATGCGCGCTTGCCTCTGAGTTCTCCGTCTCTCAACGTAGTCTGGCCGCTTTCGCTAAGGGATAAGCAAGAAACGACACGAACGATCGACTGGCTTGATTGTGGGGTATGGGCCAAGCAATAGTATGCTCATGATTTGCGCTAGCTACCTACCATTTTCAGATACATACATACGTGCGCTTCATGTCTTCGCCTGAATGACCCAGGGGCGTGTCGCAAGCTCTGCTCGGCGATGTGCGGATGCGGAGAAAGCAGAGTCTAGATACACGTATGTGGACGTCCCAGGCGCTGGAGAATACCGATCCATGGAACGCGTTCCTCTCCTTCGGAGCCGAAGTATGTAGACGGGGTAGTGACGCTGATGATGATAATAGTGGTGCATATCGATTTCTCGGGAAACAGATTGCTTGCTTACTGGCTAGAACTGACTCATTCGGGTTCAACCAAGCCTAGCCTTGAATTTCTCTTGCCTGTCTTCATGGATGAAGACTGACGAATTTTAATATACTGAAATCCGGTTGGTCAATGTCGATGTCTGCAAGATATCTACACTTCAGAGTAGTAGTTCGAGACTGCTCGGATGAGGAGACCCGATATCCGGGGAGTTAAAACATGGAGTTAAGCTCGGATACCTCTTGTATCCGGCTGTCTCAATCTGTTTCTCATGAGAGCCGGTAATCTCGATGATCGCTTGGTAGCATCTTGTTTGCCTCTTTTTTCCTTTTTCAGATTTTTAGCGTATCTTTTATCGTTAGCCTTGTGCTTCCCCGATCTACACTTTCTATCTTGATACTTCTTTTCTCTCTCTGGCCGCTTTAGTTGCTCCTCCGGCTCTGTAGAAGAATAAAATGAGCATGTCAGTGTCCTAGAATTCATGAAGTGCCTCTTGATGTCTAGACTATTCACTTGCTGTGAATACATACACAGTGCACGCTATCACATCCAGAGCATGAGGCTAATTCTGACCAGTGTCACTGCCTGCTTTATTTCCGGTCCCCGGATAGATAGTAGATCGCACTAGTAACTTAATAGGCAAAGAGTGGGACGAATGCCTGAACGTTAGACTGCCAGTTACCCCCCTCGTTATTATAATTATTTTTTTCCATTCGAAGTTATTTTTCTCATTTTATTTTTTTTTTTTTTCGCCTTCTTTTTAATTTGATTTTTATTCCTTTTATTATCTAATTTGGCTGTTAAATTTGGTTCCCCACTCACTGAAATTCAGAATTCAATAATAATTCCCTTATTATGAGGTATGGGTTTGCTCCACGATCCAGATTCACTAGGGACCAATGTCCTCTACGTAATGTGAATACCGATCATACCCAAGCTATTATTCTCTTTTTTTTTTCTCATTTCCCGCCATCCCTTCCAGTGACTGAGGGGATGGCTCAGCAAACGCCGCGCCTCAATATTCAGTGACATGATAAGAGAGGTAAACCCAATCCGTGCCTGGGTAGATGCATGTCCGCATTTAGTAACCACCCTAAAGTCAGGCTCTGAACAGCCTCAAACCCGCTGGTTCTTCCCCCTCCCCCTCTTTTCTCCCCCCTCCTGTATCCTTCTGGAAGACTAGAAGAGGAACCTAGATTTGGCACAAAGAGAAAATCTAGAAGCCAACGCCGTAGAAGAATGAACAGGGGAAAAGAAGAAAGAGTGGGAGGATCCGAAAATAAACATATGGGTGCCCCAGGAGCAAAAGTGTAGCAGACAAGCGAAGAGATACTAAAATAAAATGGGAAATCAAATCACATCAATCGAGCGGATGGGGGATACCAAAGGGAATGCATCCATGTCTGGCTCCGGTCCCAAGACAGCGGAACAAAGACAACGCCATCCAGCAACCCCGTGCCAACATCGAGGGAATTCACCACCGCCGGCCAGCGGAGGGCAGCCCGTCAAGGGTTTCAGCCGCTGGGGATTCCATGGTTGTCATCCCCATCTAGAACTTCGTGCTGCAGTATCCATCCCGCCTTAAACTGCTTGATATCCGCCTGATTTCCACCACTGATTTTCCCTTGTCCCTAATCCTTTCTCCCTTTCACACCTCGTGAACAACAACAGGTGTTCATCATCAAGCTTCTCTCAATTGTGCTTACTCGCATTGCTCTCTGGCTTTTGTTCAGACCAAAGCAAATCGCTACACACTTCCTCCCCATCTCCATAATCTTTACCGCATCCTTCTGGGCTCCACCTCACCTCTTCTCTCTCTCTTCTGCTTGTTGTCGTGGTTGTTGTGGGCCTCTACTTGTTTGTTCCTCTCAGGCTTCACTTCACCGTTTTTTCTTTCTTCCACCTCCCTGTTCTTATTCTTTCACTCTTCTTCATCTGTTGAGTGCTTTATTGTCGCCCTTTTGGCAACAATCTCTACCGTCACTTCTCCCCTGTCCTTTCGTTTCGAACTGCTAGCTCCCCCGCCGTCTATCCTGTCTTTTTCATTTCCCCTCCAGTTCTTCCGCACATACTTGCCAGGTTGTTGTAACCTTTCGTTGAATCACAACCCTCTGGAAAGCCTTCAAATGCATAGCTTCCCTGCGGTGGACTATTCCTTAACTGCTATTACCACTATTCCGGGTTATTGGCTCGCCTAGGCGTGCACGATATCCACTCACTGATCCCCGCAACTTTTCTGGCTCAGCCCAGCCGTCGCATACTTCTGCCTATTCATTCCTACACCCCGAAATTGGAGGTCTCGCTGCCCCTACCTTTGAACTCCATTTCTAGCTTTCTCTTTGATTCACAACCTCTTAACCTCTCCTTGTCATCTTCTATTGTAATTCACTCCGTCTTGCTCTTCCTCGCACCATGGCAACTGTCGCTACGGCGAGAATGATTCGCGGTCAACCGCCTTCCCCGCCTCATTCTACTGATGGAGACCCTGCACCAGAAGTTCATCGAACCTCCTGTGGCACGCTCCAGCAAGCTTATGGACATCACGACCCTTATAGTTCTATGTTACATGGAAATCGTGCGTCTGGTGATATTTCATACGAACACAGACCACACTCTCTGGTAAGCAGACGCAACTTGCTCAAGTTCATAAGCTGAAGGCTAATTGTGTTTCAGGAGTACACTCCTCCTTCATCACAGTACGTCTCTTCCGGGGACTATCCTCGATCACTGTCCATGCAAGCCCCGGTAAGTCTTGCCAATACTGGACTTTCCAGGTCTTTGAGGTGAGCCGTAGTGCTGATTAAGTCTTAGATGGCAACAAATGGCCTTCAGGTTAACACGCCTCCCCCTGCTGCAGACGAGGGCCTAGTTTCAGAATCGGTACCACGATGGAGCTCGCCGTCGTCCCAGAGACAGGTGACGAGGGCAAGGGTGGCCAGGTCGCCTAGAGTGCGTCGCAGGAATAGAAATAGGAAGGACACAAGAGTTGAGCTCGAAGGCCCTCTGAGTGAAGTGACCAAGCATTTGACAAACATCCCTATTCGAGACATGGAACGCTGGGTGAACCGGTCAATAGAAGTTCGTCACCAAGAGGTAGCCAAGAGGAACGGAAAGGTTGCCAGGCCCATGAACTCTTTCATGCTTTATCGATCGGCATATGCGGACCGGACAAAGCAATGGTTTGCGCAGAACAATCATCAAGTGGTTTCCGAAGCAGCGGGTGACAGCTGGAGGCTTGAATCCCCAGAAATCCGTCAGAAGTACGAGCTTCTGGCCAATATCGAGAAGAGTAACCACCTCAAGGCGCATCCTGGTTACAAGTTCTCGCCGTCGAAAGATAAGAAGAAACGAGCTGGGAGCGAAGATGAGCGTCCCCTGGCCAGCACCCCTGGATCCACTTCAGCTTTTCTGCAAAACCGTGCCGCGAGCTCTTCGGAAATTGATAGTAGTGGCTGGGAAAGTCGGGACTCGACCCCGTTTGACTTTGCTGACCATGGTTTACATCTACCTGGGGATACCTACCTTTCTTCATCTGCCTGGCATGCAGCCAACCATGGGCGGCCGCACCCTGGCATGATTCCCTCCTCTGAGCCATCTCACTACCTCCACCAGACAATCCATGCAGGGCTTATCCCTCACGTAGAGGATGTCCGATTCAAGAAGACTGGCTTGCATGGGATTCAATATGCTACGTCCTCGTCCACTCCACTGGCTGCTCTACCCGGCTCCACACATCATGACCTTCTTCAGCCGTCCACCTCGTTGCCCGGTGATGGACAACTGGATCCCCAGCTCCTGACCCTGCAGACCGAGCTCCAGAGCCCGAACCAGCTCTTTGGCAGCTCTCACAATATGTGGCAAGACTCTTCCAATGTCAACTGCTACACCTCTCCCTCGTCTTCCTTGGCACCTTATTCAATCCCTTATACCGCGACGACCTACTCACAGGGAATACACACCCTAGAAACCGACCCTGCTCTTGATGGTACCAGTGGCGATTTTGACACCTGGATCAACCAGCAGGGCACGACATACTAATCCTCATCTCGAACACAGTACCATGGAACGTTCAAAATACCCTCCACCAGTTTATCTGCTATCACATACAAGTCTATCTAATATTTTTTCTTCTTTTCTTTTCTTATGATTTTCGTCTCGTTTTGTCACCTGGGATGGACGTTTACTCTTTTGTTTCTTACCCCTCAGAGCGGAGTTATTGTTGAAGGCGTTTTTTCTTATTCATAGGGGCCCGGCGCTCTGTTGTCGGGGTTATAGGTCTTAAGTTCGTTCACGTTCGCTGCTTATCTGGGTTCTAACTTTCGGTTCTTTCTTTTTGGTCATGGGGCATGCTTTAGGACACGGATATTGATATGGATATGGGAATGTGCTTTGTGGGAGGCAGTTTTGTTGGCACTCTTGTGCATATCTCATGGTAGTTACGGGATTTGATGCATTAGATCAATTGGGCATTGCATGATAACAGGAGGATACCACCACTTTCAATCGAATTTCTGTTTCAATTTCTTTCTCCCTACCACGTGTTGAAAGCTTCAATGCTTTCCTCAGTATGCTGAACTTCATCGGCATGCATTGGACCACCTGATATTTCTTCTAAGAATTGGACATATCTGAGACATCACGGTGTGTTATTAGTCTATGAATAGCATTTACATTGTCTCTTCAATAGTGGCTATTGTAAGGAATCTTCTTATTCTTCTTCCTTTCAGTGACTGTCTCAGTGAATACACAGAATCTAAACACACCATTCTATTGACGCCTTTCCTCTACAATGAGTGTGTTACCAAACGCACCATTGATCCTCTCTCCCCTAAAATCACACTCCACAAACTAAGCAATTGTTCCAAGACACTTATTCACCCTTCTATTCTTATTCCTAATGAGTCTTTCATTCTTCTATACATCCCCATTCAAGCGCCTTGTTTCATCTTCCGCCAGCTACTTACTTTGTATGTATCTCTTTGTCCTCGGTCTTTTAACATCACTATCTAAAATAGGACGCCAAATCAAGGACCTGTGAATGCTAGCTTTCTTTCAGCTTGTTCTAGTTAACTTGTGCGTGCTAGTTGTTGAATAGGTCAATAGTGGCTGTGTAATGGTCTTGGAAGATCACCTGGACCTTCATCTATCTATTGAACTCGTTGATTGTTTCATTGTGAATTTTCTGAAGATCTTCATTTTTGATTTTAGTACATAGTTAGAGCCTTGTTATTGTCTCATCCTATTGTCTACTAACCTATCTTCTGAAACATGTTCTAGGATTAGATACATGTTTGCCTGAAGATATGGAAGCGCTGGATTTCGGAATGCTTACGGTTGCTCGGATATGAGTATGCCTTATCTCTGTGAGTCACAGGAACGTATATATGCCCTGGCATACGAGGGGGACACTTATGGAGGTGTGTATTCGTTAGTCAGAGCTTCCTTCTGTTATCTTCTGAGAGGAGTTAGGTGAGAAGGATTCGGACCCTTCGTAGTTGATTTATCTTTAATGACGCTTGAAGCTTGACAGTTAGTATGAGGCGTTTACATCATCCTAGCAAATAGACTACCATTCACATCGACACCAGTATCGTAAAGTAGCGGAGGTGAGTAATGGAGTATCTCTGGCGGTAAAGTGCACTATTATCTGCAAAACAAACCGCCTATATCATTCAGCATCTACAAAAACTCACTCACTCATCCAAATCGCGAAAGCACCTACAATTCCGATCAACAGAAGGAAGCGGTAGGACTCTCTCCCTCTTCAGCTTCTTCCGCAGAGCTCTTATCCAAAGATTCCCATACTGCTGTTCCAAGTTATCCCAAATCGGCTGGATGACCGCTTCCAGCCTGTCAATCTGCATTTTACCCCGCTGAACAACATACCAGCGAATAGAAGATAGCATGCGATACCAATCATCATCACAATGGCTATTATAGCCCTCGTCTCGGCAGCGTAAGAGGATGAGAGCGTGAATGGCCATAGTGAGGTTCGGGATCTTGATTTTATATCTTTCCAGCTCGTAGGGGTCTCTATATGCTCTTTCATTGAGCTCGACGTATAACATTGACCTCTCGTCGTGCAGTGGCTCGATCTGAGTAGGGAGACGTTCGTCCCTGGTTGACATGTAGTACTTGTCGTGTCGGGACGGTTCGTTCAAAGTGGGTTCGGGGAATGAGAAGAGGGTTTCTGCGTGCCTGTATAGTTTCAGGTAGTATGTACGCGCGGGAACAATCCAGTAGCTCGCGATATGGAAGTGCCTTGCTGGTATCATGCCGTCTTCGGGACATTGGAAGCGCGGGCAAGCTTCGATGTGGCTCTCGGGACAGGTTGTGAATCCTGCTGCTTGTAGAGTTCGATACGCAGCGTCGATCAGTCTGTTTGGGATGATGAAGGATATGTCGTGGGGCTGGAGATTGTTAGTGAGATCATTGAGCCCGTGGATGTAGGTGCGATGGAAAGCTTACCTCTTGTGTAAAGGCACCATAGGCAGATAGCATGTACTCGTTCCAGAGGACATGAGGGATCTTTGCATGATCCAGAAGACGCGCGATAATGGCGCATAGTTCTCGGCCGTAACAGCGCATCATTGTGATTAGACTGAGTACTCGTTGTTACATTTTCTGGGGTTTGGAAGGGCTTCCTTTCCTACTGATATCTCTGGGAAGATTCGAGGTTTTCTATGCTTTCCTACATCGAAACCTGTCCGGACAGCAATGGAGGTACCTTCCGGGATAATACTATCATTGAGATCCATTTGAGGACCCTTGGGCTTTGATTTGTGCTACTGATTTTCTCCTCTCATGGAGTTTCAAGCACATTGTGCGACAGACAAAGCCATTGATACTGCAAATGCCTACGGTGGCATTGTTTTTGGGTACTTGATCGAACCTTTCTCGGACATTATCTTCTCTGCTATGTGCATCTTCCGGGTCGTTATACTGTCTCCAGAGGACTTAGCAGGGAATGGCTTTCTGAATAGTTCATCAGAGAATGAAACTCGGAGATTTTTTTTTTCTTAACGGTGGAGGGCTTTCTCGTTCTGTTGGTCCAAGTTCGTAGTCATCAATCCTCTCTCCTATCTACTCATATCTCAAGAAGTCATTGGGTAATTTTGAAGGATATAATGATTCCATCAGTCCTACTCAAGTGTAGGCTGGTTCAGTCGGATGGAGATTAATTTGCATTGGGTGCGCCTTAGTGATTGTTTTGAGGCAGGGAAGGAAGCTAAAATAAGTATAGTTCATTTAATATTCGCGCTTCGGCTTCTTCCATATATCAACAACCTGGCAAATGGCTAATGAAAAGATGCTACCAAGGGAACTTCCACTGGCTCACAATCCTTAGCATCAGCTGCTCAGGGCAAATGTTCAAACATCTTCGCTGATGTCAAGTTTGGGTTCGATATCTCACGTTGGAAGGCGGCTTGGCAGGAACGCGAGCCGTCCGTCACGTGTAGATCTTCGATCGGGCGCGGCCTAGCGATCCGCGCGACGCTGTCCTGGCAGATTGACCTCTGACCTTAATAACTTTGAATAGCAACTTATTGGTTGTACACACTTCTAGTGTGAAGTTCAATTCTTGTCGGGTCTGCATAATTCCCACTACAACTCTTATATACTTCCAACGGCGCATGTACATCCCCCGAAAGCCGGAACATTCCTCTGAAGTCATCTCCATTCGCCATGTACGGCGAACACGGAAATAAGCTTGTATGTGCTCCCCTTTCAAGCCAGGCTCCATGAATAGCTTGTCCTAACGAAACCCATAAATAGGTGCAACATGCCAAGCGCACTCAGGCTCTCACCCATCTCCCTCCCTACCAAACCGAACTGGTCCGTTCCGTAGCCCGCGAAGTACGCGACCTCGACCGTGATGTCGCACACCTCCTCGGGCCTTTCGAAGGCAGTTTCAATCCGTCACAAGAACCAGCCGTCGCCTGTGCCCTTCTAGTGGACCACCTCTGTATGCGCCGCAACAAACGATGTCTACTTGCCTACCACCGTGTTCGCGCCGAGAAGCTCGAGGAGCTATGTTGGAATGGCGTCGACTTGCTCGAACAGCAGCTACCGACTGCAGACGAAGGGGCTGCAGGTGCGTCAGGCCATGGGAGCGGGGGTTATGCAGCGATGGGTACTGCGAGTGGGAACCACAGTTCGTTGAGTCCGGAGGAAGAAGAGTACTTCCGGCAATATAGCGATCTTCTGGCGGCGTACAAGGGACAATGGACGGATATTGATCTTACGGGAAGCCTGGAGCCCCCGAAGGATCTCTTCATAGACGTGAGGGTCTTGAAGGATGCGGGGGAGATTCAGACCGAGTATGGGTATGTGAGGCATTTGATTCTACTTTTATTTCCCCCTCGCGCGTATTGTTGATCGGCGGGTTGGAATGCTGACATTGCATATAGGGTGATCAATTTGACGAAAAACAGCCAACTTTACGTGCGGCAAGGGGATGTGGAACGGTTAATCGCGCAGGGATTTTTGGAGCGTCTGAGTTGATGGGGGGTGATGAGTTTCAGATTATGCAATTTATGTCTTATGATACCCAATGAATGATGCCTCAAGAACGGAGTATAGTACAGGACGGTCTAGCTAGGATATGCTGTGTAGCGTTGTTTTGAATAATCCCAATTTTTCGGATTTGTGTCCAAGAATCGGACCCCAACTGCATACGCGTGCGCCATTAGCACAAGCTATTATCAGAGTGATTACGTAGAGTAATTTATATATCACGAAATAGGTCTATCTAGACTTTCTAGCCTCGCAGTAGCTGCAGCACCGTTGACGGCAGCGGCGGTGCTTACCTAATGGTGTTTGCAGACGAGGGAAGCATCAGGGCCTATCATCGGCCTCGTGCATCCAAGCTCCTTTGCTCTCTGCAGCAAAGTTGTGCCACTAGCGACAAACTTCCCCCCTCAGAGGTACCGACTCGCCGACTAACCCAGAGCCAATTCGTGTCAGTCCGCTAGCGACTGCTTCTAAACCTCTAAGGTCCTTTCGGTTGACATCGGACCCGTCAGAATGGTGGACCGGCGACAGTAGTGTCTTGTCGGTGATAAGGCTTTTTTAGTCACCTCCGCCCGCGAGCTTTGATAACGATCCTGGGAGCCATGTCTGGGCCTCATTGAGTCCCTTCCGGACCCTTCTGGCCTCCATCTTTCGGGAGTCTGCATTTCTCCTCCTTTCTGACATCTGACTTTTATCTTCCTCCCCTCACCCAGTTCCCCAATCGCAGAGCAATGCCAACACCTGCTGTGCCGATTAAATTCTTGCGTCATCTGCTATCATCTACCCCCCTCCTCACGCCTTTTTTGTCGCCAAACAATCACAAGCTTCACAGCCTGCGGGCTTAACTTTCCCCCTCCCCGGTGGTGATCAGGGAATATCCAGTGGCAGACTGTGTGAGGCGATCGCTCATCACAGTCTTCCTTCCGTTTGCGGTCAACGATGGGTGTCTTCCGCTCCCGAGACAGCAGCGACTTTCGCATATCCGGGGTATCCCCTCATCGCTCCCCCTTGGAGGACGACCTAGACTCGAACAGAACAGAGATCCCGGTTGAACATGCCAATCATGGTAGCCCGCCCCGGTCCTCAGGCCTAGATTCACTGGTATCTGGCGGTACCAGCTTCCGAACCCCAAGTCGGTCTTTTTTCCACCGGTCATTCCATACTCCAGCAGGTACGCAGCTACAGAGACCTCACAGACTTTCGTTTCGTGGGGAGAGTTCGTCATCATTTAATTTATCCAGATCTGACCTTTACATTTTAGACACGGCGCACTATTCAACCCATGGCCTCAGGGAGCAGACAGCCGAACTGGCTTCCTTTGCATTGTCGCATGAATCGAATACTCTTCCCCCTTCCTTGGATATCTTTCAATCCTCCCAAAGTCCCAACCGCCCATCTTCTCCATCTTTCAGTTTCGCTGCGCAAGGAAGGACAAATATAGAACCCGGTCCTTCCTCCGTCCCTACCACTGGTTCGTCGGTCCTGACACAGCTAATGCGCAAACCCGACGCCTCCGAAGCTGATCGAGACAACCGGGACAGAGCCTCCGACTGGGATGAGTTTAGCGAGAGTGCAGTGTCCGAGTATCATACCCTAGGAGGTGCGGCGGGGGGTGCGCCTGCTACTGAGCAGACCTCCTTGTTGCCCAAGACAGTACAAGCAGGACCTTTTCAGAACTATGGAGGGACTGGCGACGTCGAAAGTCAAGGCATTTCGGGGAATACTAAAACAGACGCGTTTCCTGGAGCTGTTCACAAGCTTAGGATGTGTTTCTGTACGCTATCGAACCCGAAGTCATGGGACGGACAGACTGTATGGCGGGATGGGATTGTTTATCCGCTCAGCTTTTTGCCGTCGGTATTCCTTGGCCTTCTGCTCAATATCCTTGACGCTCTTTCATACGGCATGATCCTTTTCCCGCTGAGCGAGCCGGTCTTTGCTGATCTGGGTTCGGACGGTATCTCAATGTTCTACGTCAGTACCATCATTTCACAGTTGGTCTTCTCTTGTGGAGGTTCCATTTTCAAAGGAGGAATTGGGAGTGAGATGATCGAGGTTGTCCCGTTCTTTCACCAAATGGCCTTCACCATTCTCAATCGGGTTAGTCAAGACAACCCGCAAGCTGTGTTGGCCACGACTATTCTCTCATTCTCGGTCAGCTCGGTTCTTACAGGCTTGGTGTTCTTCTTGATGGGAACCTGTAAGCTCGGTGCTCTGATTGGCTTCTTCCCACGTCACATCTTGATTGGATGCATCGGCGGTGTAGGATTCTTCCTGTTGCTCACGGGTGTTGAAGTGTCTGCTCGATTACCAGGCCCATTCGATTTCACCTTGGGAACATTCGAGAAGCTTATGCAGCTAGACACGATATTTCTGTGGACGACCCCATTGTTGCTTGCTGTTGGCCTTCTTGTTTTGAAGCGTTTCTTGCGTTCCAATTTCTTGGTTGGTGGGTATTTCATCGGTGTGGCAATTGTATTCTATATTGTGAAATTCAGTGCCAGAGTACCTATGGATTCATTGCGCGACAAAGGGTGGGTGTTCGATGCTCCATCTTCGTCAAATCCGTGGTACCACTTTTATACTCTCTATGGTGAGTGATCACTATGTCTTCGCGAGTGTGTGTCATACTAACTGCTCTAGACTTCTCTGCTGTCGATTGGTCTGCATTTCTTGACACGATACCTGCCATGTTTGCACTCACATTCTTCGGAGTACTTCACGTACCCATCAATGTTCCAGCTTTAGGAATCTCTACCGGCGAAGATAATCTCAATGTCGACCGTGAACTCATTGCTCACGGTGTCACCAATGCCTTGTCTGGCTTTGCTGGAAGTATTCAGGTGAGTGTGTTCTAACTTCCAGCGAGTCAAATGCTGACTTGTTCCAGAACTACCTTGTATATACAAACAGTCTTTTGTTCATTGACAGCGGTGGCAACTCTCGTGTGGCAGGAGTCATGCTTGCAGCTGCTACTGCAGGGATCATGGTTATTGGTCCAGTTATCGTCGGATTCATTCCAGTAATGGTTGTAGGAGCGCTCATATTTCTGTTGGGCATCGAACTGATGCAAGAGG